ATTGGGGGCTTGAACTTAATTATAGCACCAATCTATAAACAATGACTAGTTCTTATGACATGACCCTACTCAATACTTGACCTCATGAAGAGATCATTGAAGTTATGAGTGCGATAGTAAAGTTTGGTGAAGAAATCAAAAGGTGCCCAGCTATCTAAATAAAAAATGTGCCTGGAGTTTTAAAGGCTTGTTTATAAATAAGCAGCTATATAAGGGAGGCATCAACTAAGTCCACCTGGAAGAAGCACAGGAGCCTGTGTGATCGAAGTATAATAAGTAATGAAATCCAAATCCAAAGGAAGGAATGCTGTCAGAGGTTAAATTTTGAACACCTGGCTTACAGAAGGCTATGGATGACAGTGGAATCTCAAAATACATTTTCAGGGTTTCCAGATGAATCCCTTTGGACCAAAGTCCGGGGATGTGAATACCCTTGTTATCAGACAGAGAGCATTGTAAAATCCACTACAGCAAGCATGGTTAGGTTAAAATGTAATACCTTCTCATTTGAACTCCCTTTTGACCCATTTTAAGAAATGTTTCCATTTTTAAATATTTTCACTTTCTTTTCTATTGAAGTTTTTCTCTGTTTTGTTTTGTCACTATCGTTTTGTGTGTTTGTGATTTTGTATGATTTTCTGTATACAAACTCCAGGATAGGTAAATCTATAGAGATGATAGCTGGATTAATAATTACATAGAAGCATGACAAGGGAAGTGAGAAAGAAATGGGGGGCTAAAAATAATGAATATGAGTAGAATATGTTTTGAAATGGATTGTGGTGATAATTGCTTACTTATGCTTGAGTGATTAAATTGCATGATATGTGAGTTATGTACCAACAAAACTGTGTTAAAGATGAAGATAGATCTTGTTTGCTGTTTGACTCGCCATTGAAGGGTCCAAGATGACGTTGACAAAGGAGCCAAAGAGGTGGACTATGCCAGTTCTTAATTTATTGCCTCTGAGTTCCAAACCCGCTCTTCAATATGTGCTCTGTGATGGATAATGGAGTTCCTTTTAGCATTTTTTTTTAAGTGAACATGATACTAAGCTTTCTCAGTAGAGGCTGCTATTAGGACAAAGTAGGAGAGTGATATTTCCTGAAATTTCTAAGCATGCCACCGACCCAGAATGCACTGCAACCTTGCAAGCTCTGGCCCCCCTGTCCACAGTGACCCTCTCTAGAGCCTGGCACAGTCCGTCTCGGGTCGAAGGCCTTCAGTAACCCCCCAGATGATGTCGTGCACTCCGCTGATCTGGAAAGTCACACTTTGAGTAGTCATACTCTGGGGGGGAACACCCCCACACTGTGAAGATATTCTGCCCCGCTGGAGCCTGATTTCCACTGCATTTTCACCCCAGGGCTTTCTGAATGCCCACTCACTCTGGAAC